AATTTAAATTTAAAAAAAAAGAAAAGAAATTTCGTGAGGAATCGACAAAATTTAAACTAGAGGTTTGCGCTACATTTCTCACATTTCTTTATTGCAGATTGAATTTCCGAGCGCACTTTAAGACTACCAGTAATTTCCGAATAATTTATATTTTCAGTGTATAGAACAAGCTAGAACAATTCTAGAACTGTCAATCTTCCATTCCACATACATATATGCAATCGATTTTCAAGTTAAACTAATAATTTTATCGAATCGAATTGACTTGAAAATTTTTAATCCAATAGCGTTTAAATTAGCTCGAAATCCGCCGTATTTTATTTGCAAAATGACATATTTGTTGACGGATCCATATTCTTATTCTATGTCCAAATTCTGATAATTTATTCCATTTTTTGTGAAACAAAACCAGCATAATTAAAATAATTTTCTGTTCCTCAATCGAAATTGTGGCATATTCGTTTTCCCGTAGGGTAACAATTTAGTGCAGCAGGTATGACGGCGTTGACATGATCAACTCTATTTTTTATCGTTTTTCAAAATAAAAGACAACCAATAGTTTTGGTTTGTTTTTGGTTTTTTTTTTTTTTTTTGATTTTTATTTCAGATTTTTATAAAACTTGAACTGTAATTTTTCCGTATTAAATTTTTTTTCCTTTTTTGTTATCCTTTTTTTTTATTTTTGGAATTTTTTATTTTAAATTTTTGTTTTTTGTCTTTTTTTTTTATTTTTTTCTTTTAATTTTTATTTATTTTACTTTTTGTTTTTTTTTTGTCTTATTTTTGCCTAGATAAAAATTATAATTTTTTCTTTTTAAGTGTTTCAGTTTTTTATAAAGTCTAAAAAAGAAGTGGACGTTTAGTACGTTTTTTTTGTTTTAAATTTTTAGTTTTATTTTTTTTTTAATTTTTATAATTTTTAAATTTTTACTCAAATAGATAGATTCTATATATTATATGTATTTGTATATAAGTTTATATTATATGTATGTGTATATGTATTATGTAGACATGTATATTTATATATATGTACGACGTTTATTACCATTTTCTGGATCAAATATATTTTGAGGGAATCGAAAAAGAAATTTATAACAAGAGACGTATGTATGTGATTGAACAAAATCAATTATTGCACATGCTGTTAGTGTTAGTGCACATGTTAAAATGTACCCATTTATGCTTTACTCAAAAATGCGTTAAGTTGAAATCCAGATTTATTTTCTTATCTCTTATTTAGTAAAGAAAAAACTGAATTTTTAGAATATTTTATAATTAGAGAAATTGCTTAGACCAAGTATTAACCAACATTATTTTACACGAAAGAACAAAAAAAAAAAAATATCATCATTTAGATTGCGTAAAATTTGGCTATTCAAGAGTATCAAGTAAATTTATAATTTTCAATTATATAATGATGAACGAAGAGAAAGGAGAATGATGAAAAAGTTAGTATGTATAAGAATCCAAGTTTATTGTAGTATTATGGGAGACACAAAAATTTATTTATTTTAAAATTATTTTAATACGAGACATTTCCATAAAATTCAGTTTAATTGGATTTAAATATAAATTGTTGAGAATTGTATTTATAGCAATTCAATATTTTACTATGAAATTTCTGAAAAGTTATTCAAAGTCCTTTCATATGTTTTGACTTAATGTTCGAATGTATAGTATGAAATGGAATCCTTTTAATTTTCTTTTGAAACTCAATATATTATATGAAGAATTCAATTTGATCCGAAAATTATAGATTATTAGAAATTATAAATATTATATAAGTTATGTACATATATTATGTTCGTAAGAATAAATGTATATTTTATTATTCGGATTAATAGTGTCCCTAACATCGGAATTATAATAATACCGTATCGATATATATAAAATTCAGCAACTAGCATTTATAAGTTGAATTCGGCATTAATACAGTATTATTACAACTCCTATATTAGAGTGTATTAATAAAACAAAAAGTAAAATGAATTAAAAAAAATTCAAATGAAAATATGGAAATAACGGTGGGGAAAATTTTGTTAAAATTTTTATATATTTTAATGAAATCAAATCAACTGTTATTGAACTTTTTTATTGTTTGCCTATATTAAAATATATTTGTCTTATATATTATATAATAATAATGTGAACTTTTAATATTTTAAATTAATAAAATAAATTGTTTAATACAACTTCTATATACTACGTGTAATACAATGGCATTATATTTTACATTCTAGTATATAGTATATACAAAGATTTTAGAATATGCTTCAATATTGCTATGCGTACACAGTTTCAGCAATAAGCAACTATAAACTGAATTGTGTAGCAGTTGTAGAGTAATACAATCTGATCTGTTAATTATTTGGATGTACATATAGAAAATTGTAGTTATGATAATAATAATAATATATATGTAGATAAATTAAATAAATTATTTTTTTTTTCTTTTTAAATTAAATAAAGTTTAATCCGAATGTTATATGAATTAAATATATAAACACATATGTACATACGTTTATATATAAATATACACACTGAATTCAAAATTGCACTTAATAAACAATTGGGACACAAGTCCAGCTGTATAGTATAACAGTTTTAATTATTGAAATTGTTTATATCGCATTACTATTATTATAATACATTATATTATTATATATAGTTTTGAAGTTTCAATGCATATATGTATATTACAGTTGAACATACGCTTACATACATTTGCGGGCAAAATTTTTGTTTTGTGCCCATTTATGCTTCTCTTATTTATGATTATAGAAAAATTTGTTTGTTGGCATAGTTGATTTTCATTTACATGTACAAACTATACTCATTGAGCTCATATTATATGTAATTTTGTAAATGGAACGGCCTTTTTTTTTTAGTATATGAGTAAAATATAACATTTTCGTTACTCCTGAGTAATAACAATGAGTTTACTTATATAATACTTATTTTCAAATGAGAGCGTATTCGACTGTATTTTGTACATTGTATATATATATATGTAGATATATATATATAAATTTTATAAATTATTTTTAAATTTTATAAATTATTACAAATAATTACATACATTTATTATATTATATAGTTTGCATATACATATACAAGCATTAATATGTTTATTTATATATGTATAATATATGGAAAGGCATATATATATATATATATATATATATGTATACGTACAGATTTGATTTTGGAATTCAGAAATTATTTTTAATTGTCATTTTGTTTTATAACATTTTCCTTAATTACTTTTTGTTTTGTTTTTTTTTTTTCAATTTTTACAAATTATTTTTTACAGTTTACACACACAGTTTTACATTTAAATGTGCATATATATATATATATATATTGTATTTTTATATTTAATTTAGAGAAAAAAATTAAATAAAAATTTTAATTAAATTTAAATTTTTTTTTTATCTTACTTAACTTCTTTGTTTTTCTTTTTTATCCTTTTTCACATCATTATTTTCTTTTTTTTTGATTTTTATTATTTATTTATAACTTTATTATTCAATTAATTCTATATAATATAAATTGGAAAAAACATAAGAAATGTGTATATATATATATATCGACAGCTCCAAATAGAACTATATAGTCTTCTTACAGTATAAACTTAGAAATACCGTTAATAATTTTCAAATAAATGTTGCAAAAAAGAACATAAACCAAAGCTGTATTAAAGTCAAACTAACATCAAATTTTCATTTGTTGTATATGTAGAGCATTTAAAGTATAATTAAATTTAGTCACATAACCTCTTTAATTTCAAATATTTTATCTGGCAAAAAATTTGGCAGTGTAACTTTTTTATAAAGTGCGAAAATGATCTATTTAGCTTAAAATGACAATGCGCACGTCTGTTTGCGAGTATTGAATTTTTATAATTAAATATAAATTTTAAATTGCAGAGCTGTGTTTCTTTTTTTATTTGATTTTAGCTTGATATTTAATGATTACACTTTAACAATATCGCACATAGTTATTGAATCTTTTATTGTAAATATATATATTTACTTTGCGTTTGTATCTAAACTTATTAGTAAGTATAAATTGACATTTTTTAAATTGTATTATTAGAAGAAATTCAATAAATTTTCAAATTTTAAATAAATAGTTTAATTAAAATAAAATAATGCAATTTTTAGCACAGAATCTATTAATCAGAGAATTATTTGAAATATTTTTGTCTCTTATTCTCGCATTACGATATTTTTATATTAATGTGCAACAATAAATGAAAAATTTTATTTTTGCTCTTCTGTGCAAAACCTAAGTATAATATGTTTTTGAGTATAATATGTAGTTGTATCTAAAACCATCGACATATATATGTATTAATATATACATAATAATCGTCAGTGGGTACAGCAAACACTATACTTAAGTCCACTTTTCCAAATTTGAGTTATCTATATAAAAAGTAGCAAAAAAAGAGTTAAGAAAAAAGAAAAACACAAAAAAAAAAATTCATTCGTTTTCATCATCAAGTCTGTCTTGCCCCTAAATCATATATATACCCACAAATAGTCCTTTAGCAATTATTCTTAATTTTTCCCTTTATTTCTTTTTACGGGCATATTATATGTTATTCTAGTATAATGCTTTTATATAAATAAAGATTTTATGCATAAGAAAACTTTATAAATTTAGAAAATCTCATGGACTTAAGCCATTTTTTTTACAGTTTTTATCGACGGTATAAGTATATAGTTATGTAGCCATTAAATAATTAAAAATACAATAGTAAAAATATATATTTTTTGGGAAAAAATATAATAATAATAATAACTAAAATGATACAAAAACTTTCCAGAATTTATATAAAATTTTAATAATGCGAGATTTACGATCATTTTTCAAAATTTTAGATAATTTTTATGTACATACACACATTCTACATGTAATAAATAGAAATTATCAGATTTATAACAAATTAAATTAAGCTAAAAATTATCCTATATAATTTTCATTGATTTTGAAAAATCTGCTGTCAAAGTTCTGAATAATACGGTATATGGTTAACAAAATGTTAAAATTGTAAAAATTTTAAAATCTTGTTATAAATGATATTTTGGATTTAATAGAAAAATTTCGTTTTAATTATAAATTAGGATTCTAATAAAAAAAAAAAAAGAATTTTAATAACAAATAAATTGATTTTGACGAGATGTACGTTCAAAAATAGGTCAAATATAAATAAGGCAAAAAAATTCTGTTCGTATATAAGCAGTATTATTTGTCCTGATGTCTAAATTTTGCAAAAAACTATCCCATTACAATATTACATTGACATTACTGAATACAAAATTTGTAACTGTCACAATACTTTTCTATGGTACGTTACGAAAAACTATAATATACACACATTGTTAATACCGTACTTTAGTGAAGACAGTCTTATGAACCCACAAAATGAAATTAATTTTTATAACTTACATATTGTAATTAATTTTGAAATTAATAATTTAAAATAATTCTCTTGAAGTTATACATATGTATAACCGTCGGGAAATCTGAAAAAGGTGGGTTATAATTGTTTGCCTTACAAAAATTCGCCATACAGCATAAATAATTAGAAAGAGAGACTGACAAAATCTATTCTAAACAAAAATGTTTTTGGATCCAAAAAAAAAAAAATAAAGTGGGAATATGTGATATAGAGATAATTTTCTTTTTGAACACAGAAGGAGCAAGCCGGAAAACGAGTCCGGATAAAAAAAAATATTAATATTTGAAATTGATCAAAACTCTGATTTTTAAAAATTAAAATTACCAATTAAAATTTAATTTAAAATTTTTGCCTTTTGTTTTAACTAAAAAACATTAATCGATTAATCTAATACTGGTGATGGTTGTACTCCATTCTTATCATTATTATTATTATTATTTGACAATACATCATTGTTTTCATTATTTGCATCATTACTATTATTACTACTATTTATTCTTGTTAATTGTGGTTGCTGTTGTTGTTGTTGTGCAGTATTATTAACAATATTTGATGTTAAAAAATTTAATGCTCTTGCATCATTATGCAATCGTAAGGCTTGTTCTAATCTATGTTCTTGTAATCTTATTGCTTCTGATAAATCACTAGAACTAACTTGTTGTATATTATTACTATTACTGTTATTATTATTATTATTATTATTATTATTATTATTACTGTTGTTATTATTATTATTATTAAGATTAGAAGCAATATTCGATTGTGATTGTTGTTGTTGCAGTTGTTGTTGCGCTTGCTGTGTTGATAAGGATGATGATGTTGTAAATTGATGTTGTTGTAAACTGCTATTACTACTTTCATTATTATTACTATTGTTGTTATTATTATTATTATTGTTATTATTATTATTATTATTGTTATTATTTGAATTATTAATATTATTTGTATTGTTAGTTGTTGATGTTGAACCACCAATTCCAAATACATTATTATTATTAGTATTATTATCACTGTTATTATTGTTATTACTATTATTACTATTATTTTGTCTTAAGTTACTATTATTAGAATCATTTGATGTATTATTGTTATTACTATTATTACTATTTGATGTAGCAACTGATACAGCTAAACGTATTGCAGCTTCTGCTTGTGATCTAAGTAATGCTTCAGCTTGATGTCGAAATGATAATTGTGCATCATTTGTATGCGATAAATTTGTTGAATTTATTGATGATGATGATGATGTAGTATTATGATGTGAAGGATGATGATGTAAATGTGAATGATGATGTAAATGTGATTGATGCAGATGATGATTATTTAATTGATTTATATTAATTGAATTATTATCATTATTATTACTATTATTGTTATTATTAGTAATATTACTATTGTTATTATTATTGTAATTTGAATCATTTTCTGTTGTTGATGATGATTTTGTAGCATTCATTTGATTATCATTATTATTATTATTGTTATTATTGCCTATAATAAGATTTGTTGCTGTTACTGATGACGACGATGATGATTGTGTAGGTTGTTGTTGTTGTTGTTGTTCCATTTGTGTTCTCATGAGAGTATCGGCCATTGATACACGCATTGCATTCATAGCAACTTGTGCAACAGCTGCAGATGCTACTGATGTTACATCATTACCACTTAATCCAGTTAAATTATTTGATGATGTACTAGAATTTGTTATACCAATATTATTTATTATATTATTATTATTATTATTATTATTATTATTATTATTGTTATTACTATTATTATTATTGTTGTTATTATTATTATTAATACTAGTATTGCCACTATTACCGTTATTATTTGAATTATTTTGATTATTATTTAAATTAATATTTAAATTTTGGCAACTATTCACTTGTTGATTGATACGCATCGCAGCAGCTAAATTAACTACAGCTTGTTGTACAACAGCTCCAGCTGCTGTTGTTGAATCAACAACACTACCAACTGGTGATACTAAATTACCACCAGAATTAGCAATATTAGCTGCAGCAGCCATTAGTGTCATACGATTTGCATGTAAATCTTCAACACTATAATGTTGATTAATATGATGATGATGATGTGTTTGATGATGGTGATGATGATGATGTTGTTGTTGTTGATTTTGATGTTGATTATTATTACTATTATTTGTTGATGTTGTTGAATTCCTTAATATATCACTTAATTTACTGCCACAGTCATTATTATTGTTATTATTATTGTTGTTATTACTACTATTATTTAATAAGCTACTACAGTGTTCAGAACTTGTCGATGATAACCGTCCTCCATTGGAGGAACTCTCTGAAGGTGATGGTGATGGACAAATTGAATTATTACCATTACCGCTTTCAATACTTGAACCAGCATTATTACCAATTGAAGATAATAGACCAGAACCAGATGCTGATACAGCAACTGCTGCTAATAATGTATCACGTTCACGTCTTTCAGCAGCTGCGCGTGATAAAACATACTGAGCGGCAAATTGATGTTTTGGATCCATACGCATATGTTCCATATGGGTTAAAAGACCTGTACATTGTTATTGTTTTTTTCATAAATATAACAAAATAATTTTTGTATAATGAATAAAATATAGAACGATGTAATTAAATATAGTAATAGTTTAATATAAAAATTTAATTAAAATATACTAAAATTTATTTTTTTTATCACATATTAATCGCAGCCATAAATCGCAAAACATTCAAAATTTTTGAAGAATATTGCAATAAAGTGTCGAGTAACAACATAACATTGCAATAAAAACTAGTTATGGGAATTGTTCGAAAGGTATATATAAAAATTCATTCGAAATTTTTCCTATACGGTGATTAATTTAATTTCAAAATTTCTTTTTTTAAATTATCAAAAAAAAATTTACCAGCTTCATGTGTAAAAACTGCTTGACAAACAGAACATGGCCACATTCTTAAACTATTTGTCAATTGTGATGTTTCCGGATGACATGCCAAATGTTTACGTAAAGAACCTTCATTTACATAATATTTTCCACATACCGGGCATGGATGATTAGCTGTTCTACGTTTTGCCAAATATGAATCAGATGAATTTAAACATGATTTTCTTATATTATCAATTTCATAATCACTCATATCATCATTATGATTTTTTATAGATTTTTGAAAAAATGCTGGTGTTGGATAATAATTATTTGGTGGTGGTGATTTTGATGGAGAATTTAATGGAGCTGTAAAAGAAATTTTTTTTGAAATATTTTTTTGTAAAATTCAATTAATGCAAAATAATCATATCGAGGTTGAATATGTGGAACTCGAATATTGGAAGGGATATAGAGAATATAAGAAAAATAACTTATTCCAATGAAATAAAATATATTGTTATATAAGAAGTGTCTAAAATTCCACCATAATACGAGATTCATGATGAAATTTCGTCATAAAATTACTTAATTTTAAGATTTAATTTTTTTAACTTTTATTAATTTTTTTTTTGTTTTCCTAACTTACTTGGAACTCCCGATATGCTATTATCTTTGTGTGAATGTTTCATATGCTCCATAAGAGCCTCTCCACCTATAAATAATTTATGACAAATAGGACATGAAGTAGCACTAGCGCCACCTATTAGTGCTGCATGTTGTTGTAAAACACCTAAATGTAATTGCAATTCCTATGATAAAATAAAAATAAAATTTATTATCGATTCAAAAAGAAATTGAAAAAAAAAAGGAAAATATTATACTGAACATATGTGCTGTGTAGTGCCGTTAACTCAAAAGGCTACTAACTATCTCCCATACATAGTTTTAACTGGAAAACGCTTTTAAAGTTTTCCAAAATAAAATTTAATAGAGTACATATACAAACACTCTACGTCACATCCATTTTTATTAAACGCAATTACAAAGTTTGCACAAAATAAAACTTACAGCATTGGCTTACAATTTGCATTTATTATACGTAAGCTTTACAACTTGGATCATGTGACACTGTTATAGTTTCATGCTTTATTTGCAAAACGGATGTCACCGTCCACAAACAGGGTGATACAGAAATATACAATTCTATGTAAAAAATTTTAAAATATCTACAAAGTTGATATTGAGGTTAGAGAAAACAAAAAAAATAAAACTAAAGAAAAATTGTTTTTCTCAAAGTTCGAATGCTTGGTATTCCGAAGGTATATAAAATACAAAATCAAGTAACATGTTAATTTTAAGCCCCCCACCAGGTCTTTCAAAAACTGTTTGTTTTAAGCCTCTATCTTTTTCGGAACGGAAGTTATAAACAAAAAAACTTGAACAAGCACAAATTTCATGAAAATTCATTAAAATCCTTATAACTCGGAAGCCCCTGATCCCAATATGCATTCCAATATAATTTTGGTGAAACGAAAAGCATACAATATATTTTCATTAGTTTGTATACATATGTTCTATTTTCCTTTTTTTTTTATATTTAATTACATATAATATTTTTTTGTTATTCCACAACAAATAATAAAATATACATACATGATGACTGACCTTGGACGTATGCGTTCTTAAACTTGATTCAGTGGCAAATCCCTTACCACATATATTACAATGAAATGGACGATTTTTAGCACGTTCAACTTGAGCGTCGTGGTTTCTTAAATGTTGTTGTAAATTTGATAATTGTATAAATGCTCGTCCACATTCAGGTAAATGACATTTATAAGGTCGTTCACCTATAATTATTATATATTTTGATATATATATATATACATATTTTTTGTAATAAATTAACATGATTGGAAGCGTTGAAGTAAATGCATATAAATCTATCCTATCTTTAAAAATAGAATATTAATTTTTATAGGTAGGTGGCGGGTTAAATTGACCAATTTATATTCTTTTGATCCGATCTCGAATTTTGAATTTAATTACTAAAAGAGGGAGCAGTATGAAGTGCAAGAATCTTGTAAAACAAACAAACTTTGCTCTTTAACTTTCAAGTCACAATCAAATCAATTTTAAATATTTTCATGTAAAAAAAAACATTCTATCTAATCACAAAGATCAACAATGTAAAATTCATCTTAATTTTATTTTAGTCTTCTTTTTTTTAGTGAATTGAAATTTAATGAGCTTAAAAATTACCTTGTTTGTAGGTATATATACTTTCTTATTTTCAGGTGATTTATTTTAGTAAAGGATAAGAAGTAAAAATTAAAAAGAATTTAAAATTTAATTAAAAGAGAGAAAAACGAGAAAAAAATATAGTTGATCATGTCAATTTTGTCATACCCGCTCGTATGAACTTGTTGTCTTATGAACCAAAAAAATATGCTATAGCCGACTATGGGCCAGACTATAACTTTAATTACGCATTTTTTTTTTTGTTTCACTAGAAATGAAATAAATTTTATTTGCTCGGAAAATAAGGAAGAAAAATCGAGGAGTGATGAATTTATAATACCCTTCGAATGTTAAGTAGTTCCTAAGAAATTACGAAATAACATTAAAGTTGTATGGGAGCTGACACAAGAAGTCAAATCGCACATAACAATCTCTATAATGCAGCTACCCGCACAAATGGCTCGATTACATTCAATTTAAAATACGAGTTCCGGCTGTTACTATTGAATATTGCGAGCTCAGTTAAATTATAGGTTTTGAGTTATCAAATCGACTCAGAATTCGATGCTGATCGAAAACATGTACTTGAATCTATATTTCAGGTCTTTAATTCTTAGCATTAAAAACGGTAAATCAAATTTATAATACCTTTCAAACATACGTTCGTACGGGTATAAAAAGGATATTTTCTTTTTGTCTTTTTTTCATATGCTTTAATTTCATTTCTTTTCATTTCTTTAATTTGTTTTCGGCATTTTTTTTTCAAATTTCAATTTAAAATAATATTTTTAATTTCATTTTTGAATAAAAAAATGAAGCAGCACAAAATTTAATTTTATATTTGAAAATGACTAATGTGTCATTATCCTTCTTCCTTTTTCTTATAAATCGCATTGCATACAATGACAAAAGTTATGTAATGACACCAAATTTCGTATGTCGAGTTTTCGATGGGTGTTCATTTCTCCATGTTATAGGAAAGCGTAAATAAACAATTTTTAGAAAGACATTGCTCTGTCAGTTGGTCTGTGTGTGCACGTATGTATCTGAAGTGCAGCTGAACCAGTTTTGATTTTGATCAATTTTTGGAATATATAAGGCCTTAGAAACTGGATGTTTCTGCGGTCCGATTAGCACAACATTAATTCCAATAATTAAGTAATTGGAAACAAGTAAAAATGTTTCAGTTGGTATATAAACTGACTGAATTATAGCTGACTGCACCTTGGCAATGTGAGTTTTAAAATTTGTTTTTGAAATATCTAGAATTGAACTTAATTGATTTGAGGCAATTACTCGAACCTGAAAAACAATTCCATAGAAACTTCACGGATATGTCTGACATATAATTGGGCATACGACTGAACAGTTTCATAGGTCTAATTTTATTATTTTTTCGAATATTTAAAATTAGCATTCGGTGTTGTTTGACAACTACCCGAACCGGTGCAGCCAATCCATTAAAATTTCTAGAGTATATATAGAATGTAATTGGACACACGTATACAAAATTTCATATTTCTACCTTTATTAGTTTTTGAAATATTTAATATTAGCTTTTGAGCTTATATGGCAGCCATTTTGCGAATAGGTCCAATTACAATAGCATCCGTCCTTAGCAGAAAGGAAACAAATTGTCAAGGTTTAGCATCGAGTGCATTATTCGTTTTTGAGTTATCGTGTGATCGGCCTGACGGACGGACGGACGAGCATGTCTAAATCAACTCAGAATTCTACTATGAATAAGAATATGTATACATGTCCATACCGGAGACAACTTCCTCAAGTGGTTATAAACTCCATAGCAAAGTTCATATACCCTTACAATAAGGAGAGCAGAGAGAAATACATAATTATGTACAAAGGAAAAAAAAGACAATTAATGTTAACCACATTTATCCCGATGGATGGGTTTTAATTTTTAAATTTTGATATTTTAATTTAAACGAGTTCGGTTCTCACATACATACGAGTACTATTTTATCTCATTTCCTTCAGATATACACAACAGTTTTATTTATCTTAGTTGGCATCCTTTATTATTTATTAAAACTTAATAGATTGCTATGAGAATGTGCAAAAGGGATGACAATAAATTGTTTTTGAACTGTTTTTTATCCGCTTTGGACGACAGTATAATATCTAAACATTTTTTATATTACTTCTTTTTTTTTAACGAAATTATATAATTTCGCAGTCTGATATCTTAAATATTTTTATACGTACACTCGGTTCTTGTTTTTAAGTGAATTTCTCTTTTTGCGATAATTGAAAATTTTTGTTTTATATTCAGATACCCCATTATACCCCATCAGCTACAACTTGTTAGCTAGATGAAAAATTGTAGTACATTCTCACTCCCTCTTCTTCTCTATTATTTTATATATATAGTATAGAATTATTACATAGACTTATTTATTCCTTTCGTATTTAGTTCAGGGTGGCGATCCATTTATATACCTTATATTTAGTATACCTTATAAATTTCCAAAACTAATGAATTAATTAAAATTATTTAGAAAAAATTAATCAGATTTAATACGCTTTAAGAAAATATTTTAATTTACAGGACCTATTTTCTTTTATATATACATATGGTTATAACTTTATTTTTATACAGGGTGTTCCGCATTAGGTGGAAAATAGTTTCATGGATGATTCTTTGATCAATTCCCAGTTAAAAATTGTATGGGTGAAGGGGTTTGCAGATATACTTGTTTTTGAGCTACAGTCTGTTGAAAAAAAAATGGTACCAGATTTTTTTCTTCATATAAATAACATTTTTCTATTTCTTATAATTTTAAATATTAAAAAATGTTACTTGGATTAACTTTTAGATCTGATTGTATCGCATCGAAAAAAAAAAAAACAAAAAAAAATTTACCACATGAAACACCCTGTATATAAAAAGTCTATATAGGATGATTCGCAAATCAGTAAAATTTTTGTTTAAGTTAGTGTTAAATCGGAACCATTTACGAACTACAAAAAAAAAAGATGAGAAAAATTGGAATTTTTCTAAAATTCGAATGTTTGTATTTCCGAAAAACCTATAATAACCCACTGTTCCTTATAAAACTATTTGTCTGAAACTTTTGCAATGAAAGTTATTATAGGCAAAAACACTTAAATTTGTTAAAATTTCGCCAAATTTTCTTAATATTCCTGTAGCTCGGAAACGGTTCCGATTTAACAAAAACAAAAATTTTACTTATTTTTGACCCTCTACGGTATATGACTCCTAAATGTTTGGTGAATCACCCCGTATACATTATGTTAAGCTTGTACAAAGAAAGGTACAGGCTCTAAATTTTTTGACAATAATTACATATTATTAACAATAGGGTTATAAGATTAATAATAGTTTTTTTTTATTGGAAACATTTTAAACACAGAAAAAAAAAAATTAATTCAAGTTTGACACTTTAGTATTATGCTATTTCCGGACTATAACTTATCTCACATATACCTCACCTTACACATTAATTCACATATTATAATTTTTTTTTTAAATATATTTGTAAGGATTTAGTAATTATAAAATTTGTTATTACCCGACCAGATTGCACGCAATAAGAAAGGAAGGTGATGTGATGGCACCAAATTTCGGATGTCGAGTTTTCGGTGGGAACGCACTTCTCTATAGTAGGGAAGTATAAATAAACTATTTTTAGAAAAATATATTTCGGTTCATCTAACTGTCTGCCTCTCTATTTGTCAGTCAGTCTGTCTGCCTGTCAATTAGTCTGTCTGCCTGTCAGGCATTCTATTCTGTGCAGATCAGAATATTTCCAGTTTGGCTGGATCAAATTATTTTCATGTTCAAATTTTGATCTAGCATTATGCTTTCAGGATGAGACTGGTCGATCAACTTTGCCCATGTTAAATGTCAATTCATTTATACTTATATATAGAGAAATAATCAACAAATTTTATTATTTGAATTCATTTGATCATATCTCAGGAATTATAATTGAAGGACATTTTTTTTTAAATTTAATATGAATAGTTTTGATTATTAACGAAATTAACTTGAATCGGATCACTGCAGGGAAATCGAATCACTGAAATTGAGCAACTTTCAAACCAAATTTACATTTTACTAGATAAATTAGCTGTTATGTAAAAGCCTATTTTCTATATGTCTTTTGTACAATTTGAAATAAAATATTTCAAGGAAATTTTCATAATCTTATGCAATCATTTTAGTCCCAGTCGGTCGGTTAGGTTGCTGCTCACATCGAATTTTTTTTAGTTTTAATTTTGAAGAAGTACTTAATATAAAGAACAAAGAAAACAAAATAAAGAAAAGAAACAATTTAACAAAATAAGGAAAAATCTGGTTTGTCTGGTTTGCATTTATAGCAATATTGGTCTGACTAAGCAAATAGAAAAAAAAAAGTTTTCCTTTTTATAAATTCTTGCAGCTTTTTTTACAACTCTAATAAAAAAATTATAAGATTTACATTTTTTGTAATATTTTTAAAACTAACAATGAATCAAAATTCATAAACTTAACATTAAGCAGACCAAACGCGTATAAATATGAAAACAATTTAAAAAAAAAGAAAAAGAACAAAAAAAATTACATTGTAAAATCAAGTTTTGT